GGGAGAGTAACAGTAATCTAATTACCGTTTTTGCAATAGTAATCCCTTACTTTACTCGTTACTTGAAAAAAGTAATCGGATTACAGTAACGCGTTACTGCCCATCTCTGCTCATTACTGACACCCTGACTTTGTTTAGGGTTAAAATGGATGATTTTAGCTTTAGAGCATCTCAGCAATGTTTTTAATAGAATATCATGAATTTTTTTGTACATATTTGTGTCAGATCTACATTACAGTATGTAATGTACAGTATGTATGTCCTTGTTGCTCAAGTTTTTAACTCTTTGCCCCTTAAACATGACATGTGAGGACCTCCCTTGTACCTTTAATAACAAGACAGCTTGGTATCTATCACAGATGACCATTAGAATAGTTTTGGGGGTTTTCCAAGGATATCCCTTCTAAGGTGATCACCTTTTGTTCTGGAAGCAGGCCAGAAATATGACAGAAACTGCTGTGTTCCTATAAGAGAAACAAGGTTGACCCCTATTGGGCATCCAAGAGGGGAAAAAGTTGAGGCACAAAGTGCATTTCTGGTAGGGACGTTTTGTTGCTCTGCTGAAAAAAAATAATCACAAAAACCTATTACAATATATTAAAAATTGTTTTCTGACCAGATACTTATAAAAATTAAGTTTTTCTTATCAGGGCTTTGCGTGCTATATGTGAACTGAACATATAAATATGACCTATAGACATGAGCATTTTATCCTGAGGACCTTGGGACAGTCTCACCGAGCTGCTAACATGACTCTAAACCCCGAGTCCACTGTTGAGTAACTTGACTGCACACAGGTTGACCCTTCCCATCACAGCTGGGAAACCTCTGGCTCAGTGCTATGCACCAATTACAATGTTTTTCCGTCTTGCTCACCAGCATCCTTTACCTGTGATTGCAGCTGCGGCCAAGTGGATGACTCAAGGTGACTCGTTTCTGTCTGCGGGCTGTGAGCAGGGCCTCGTTTCTGTGATGACAAATTGGTGTTTTAAATTTGACCTTCAGTTCAGCCACTAAGTGACTTCATTTCCTAGCACCAGTCCTCCTCTGTTTAATGTTATTTTATTGGTGCGAAAATAGAGACTAGATTATTAGTGAAAGTTGTACTAAAAAGTCCTGTCATGCGTGGAAACTGCAGATCCTTTGGCGCGAGGCTCCTTCTGTTTTACCCTCCCGGCTTTTACTTTCTCCTTTCTTCACATGTGTTCTCTGCTTTTCCCATTAAACGGTCAGATAAATATTGGTGTGCTCAGAGCCTCTGTTATGATATTTTTATCGTGTGTGTACATGTAGGAGATGTAGATGTAAACACTGCCTTTTATCGTGCCCTCCCGGTGTAGCGATAGCCAGCTAGTAAGTAGATGTTAGAAGTTTATTTGACAACAGTGATTTGTTATTGTGCAGCAGAGTGCTGCGAGCTTGCCCATGATGAGTGCACTTTCGTACAAAACCCAGATTGGGGCTTCCTCTCATTTGCTCCATTTTCTTCCTGTCTGTTCTTGTCATTTCTCTCTGATCTCCTCCCAAAAACACACCCCACCCTCTTCCCTCTGTTTACCTTCCCTTCATGAAATCTCTATAGCTGAAGTTCTCTTTTTCTTTTTTCTTTCTTCTTTCTTCCATTTTTTTATCACGTGGCTTCTAGGTCTCTATTACTGTGTGTTTCTTGTGCTCGTAGTCGCTCCATCCTTATGTAAACACAGGCAGCGACTTTTAGTCTCGCTGTCTGCAGTACGTTTTTAAAACTTTACCAAGAAAGGTGTGTTAATGGACGTGCTGCTGGCTGGGTGGCTGGTTTGGTGTTTTTAGTGGTTCAGAGGGAAGTCAAACTGACCCGTGTGTTCTGTTTCAGATGAGAAGCCCGTCCAGGAGGACGATGGGGTGGTGTGCCAACATCCCGAGTGTCCTGAGCGGCGGAGGGCCTCTAAGGTAAGATCCTTAAGGCTTGAAAGTCTGTGCATGGACACATTTCACTTGCAGTGAGATGGTATAAAAATGATTATTGGTGTAAATCCGTTAACTAACTGGGGCAAGGTCTATGTCTGCAAGGACAGGCTGCAGGGAATGCAGTTTTTATACCCAAACTGCAG